CTGAGACCAGTAGAGGTCACATTGAGAGCCCTCTGGTGCACCATTTGGTGAGCGCTTGGCCAGAGACCTAAAACGTCAAGCGGCCAGCAGTGAAGAGCACTGCGTCTTGACTGGGAGCGAGGTTGTTGTCGTGAGAGCTTGGGGAAGAGACGGTGGGAGGAGGGGATTCCGGAATGGAGCAGTGCTAGGGAAGAGGCAGAAAGAGAAGCAAGGTGACCCACAGCGTGGTGAGTCGTGTGAGTGGGGTGAGTAAGTGAGTGAGCTGTTGTGACCTGCAGTGTGATGAGTGAGTGGGGTGAGTGGGTGAGTGAGTGAGCTGTTGTGACCTGCAGTGTGACGAGTGAGTGGGGTGAGTAAGTGAGCTGTTGTGACCTGCAGTGTGACGAGTGAGTGAGTGAGTAAGTGAGCTGTTGTGACCTGCAGTGTGATGAGTGAGTGAGTGAGCTGTTGTGACCTGCAGTGTGATGAGTGAGTGGGGTGAGTGGGTGAGTAAGTGAGCTGTTGTGACCTGCAGTGTGACGAGTGAGTGGGGTGAGTAAGTGAGCTGTTGTGACCTGCAGTGTGATGAGTGAGTGGGTGAGTGGGTGAGTAAGTGAGTTGTTGTGACCTGCAGTGTGACGAGTGAGTGGGTGAGTAAGTGAGCTGTTGTGACCTGCAGTGTGATGAGTGAGTGGGGTGAGTAAGTGAGTGAGCTGTTGTGACCTGCAGTGTGATGAGTGAGTGGGTGAGTAAGTGAGCTGTTGTGACCTGCAGTGTGACGGGTGAGTGGGTGAGTAAGTGAGCTGTTGTGACCTGCAGTGTGACGAGTGAGTGGGTGAGTAAGTGAGCTGTTGTGACCTGCAGTGTGACGAGTGAGTGGGGTGAGTAAGTTAGCTGTTGTGACCTGCAGTGTGACGAGTGAGTGGGTGAGTAAGTGAGCTGTTGTGACCTGCAGTGTGACGAGTGAGTGGGTGAGTGGGTGAGTAAGTGAGCTGTTGTGACCTGCAGTGCGATGAGTGAGTGGGGTGAGTAAGTTAGCTGTTGTGACCTGCAGTGTGACGAGTGAGTGGGTGAGTAAGTGAGCTGTTGTGACCTGCAGTGTGACGAGTAAGTGGGTGAGTAAGTGAGCTGTTGTGACCTGCAGTGTGACGAGTGAGTGGGTGAGTAAGTAAGCTGTTGTGACCTGCAGTGTGACGAGTGAGTGGGGTGAGTAAGTGAGTGAGCTGTTGTGACCTGCAGTGTGACGAGTGAGTGGGGTGAGTGAGTGAGTGAGCTGTTGTGACCTGCAGTGTGATGAGTGAGTGAGTGAGCTGTTGTGACCTGCAGTGTGACGAGTGGGTGAGTAAGTGAGCTGTTGTGACCTGCAGTGTGACGAGTGAGTGGGTGAGTAAGTGAGCTGTTGTGACCTGCAGTGTGACGAGTGAGTGGGTGAGTAAGTGAGCTGTTGTGACCTGCAGTGTGACGAGTGAGTGGGTGAGTGGGTGAGTAAGTGAGTTGTTGTGACCTGCAGTGTGACGTGTGAGTGGGTGAGTAAGTGAGCTGTTGTGACCTGCAGTGTGACGAGTGAGTGGGGTGAGTGAGTGAGCTGTTGTGACCTGCAGTGTGACGAGTGAGTGGGTGAGTAAGTGAGCTGTTGTGACCTGCAGTGTGACGGGTGAGTGGGTGAGTAAGTGAGCTGTTGTGACCTGCAGTGTGATGAGTGAGTGGGGTGAGTAAGTGAGTGAGCTGTTGTGACCTGCAGTGTGACGAGTGAGTGGGGTGAGTGAGTGAGTGAGCTGTTGTGACCTGCAGTGTGATGAGTGAGTGGGTGAGCTGTTGTGACCTGCAGTGTGACGAGTGGGTGAGTAAGTGAGCTGTTGTGACCTGCAGTGTGACGAGTGAGTGGGTGAGTAAGTGAGCTGTTGTGACCTGCAGTGTGACGAGTGAGTGGGTGAGTAAGTGAGCTGTTGTGACCTGCAGTGTGACGAGTGAGTGTGGTGAGTAAGTGAGCTGTTGTGACCTGCAGTGTGACGAGTGAGTGGGTGAGTAAGTTAGCTGTTGTGACCTGCAGTGCGATGAGTGAGTGGGGTGAGTAAGTGAGCTGTTGTGACCTGCAGTGTGATGAGTGAGTGTGGTGAGTGGGTGAGTAAGTGAGCTGTTGTGGACCTGCAGTGTGACGAGTGAGTGGGTGAGTAAGTGACCTGTTGTGACCTGCAGTGTGACGTGTGAGTGGGGTGAGTGAGCTGTTGTGACCTGCAGTGTGATGAGTGGGGTGAGTAAGTAAGTTGTTGTGACCTGCAATGTGATGAGTGAGTGTGGTGAGTGAGTGAGCTGTTGTGACCTGCAGTGTGATGAGTGAGTGGGCTGAGTGGGTGAATGGGTGGGTGAGTTGTTGTGACCTGTTGAGTGAGTGGATGAGTGCGAGTGCGTTATTATGACCCACAGTGTGATTACTGAGTGAGTGGGTAGGTGAGTAGGTAGGCGCGTGCGTTCTTGTGACCTATAGTGTGGTGTTTGAACGCGGTGTAGATGAGACCCAGCAGTGTGTGTACGCGTTCGCGCGTGTTCGCGACGTTTCATGTTTAACGTTTCAAATTTTGAGATGTCGGAGCCCAATTTGTTAGATTTTTTTCTCATTTTAAACTAATTACATTTCTATAGATCCAACAACCAATGAACCATTTACACATTCACCATTTTCATTTTCATCGCTCTCATCGAATTGCATTTGCTTCATTGTTTAAGAGTTTGTTCTGTAAAAACAATCATTTTCATTTGAGTTTTCAATATTTTTATATAATTTAATATTTTTCACAATTTAAATGTAATCATTAAAGACGATTTTTTTAATTTAACAATTCTTTTTGAAAGCATTGTAAAATGCTGTATGCTAATTATATTATTAACAATGCCCTTTATTTAGTTCCCCAACACCTCGCTGAGGTATGGAGTACGGAGTAAACTCACTCACGAGGTATGAAGTCTCAAAACTCTCATCCCTGTGGAGTTCTCTCAGTGGGGGTAATGCTGCTGATTTGTGTGACCCCAATTCAGTCATTTGCAGGCGATTTCCTTGTTGCGTTGGGCAGTTTTGAACAACGCCAGTCACACGGCGTGTTTTTATCTAGCGATGGGAGGAAACCGGAGAACCCGGAGGGAACCCATGTAGAACAGGGGGGGGGGGGGGGGGGTGGAGAACATGCACACCGCACGCAGATAGACGCCCCAATTGGGAATCAAACCCAGGCACTTCTTGCTGCGAGGCACGATCGTGAACTACCGAAGAGGCGCGTCAAGTCGTCAAGTCGTTCGCTCCGTCGGTTTCCTTCCCGTTCTGTTCCCCGCACCGAGGACGTTCGGGAGAGAGCGATATTCTCCGCTGGCGGCTGTGAGCCCAGCTGCCGAGTAACTGGTGATGGAGTCGCTTTCCGATCTGACCGGCGCCAAAAAAAGAGGTTTGCACTGCGTGGGGAGGAGGGCCGATAGGAGACGGGCAAATGGAGTGGCCATCCCTGCACGGTTCAAGCGACCAGGGGGGGACGAAGGAGCTTAGCACCGGGTGGTGGGAGACTGTGAGCCCAGATCTCGGTGGTTCACGCCCAGCAGCTGGAGGAGCTGGCGGAGGGCCGATCGCGTTGCTAGCGAGGGGAGGAGCTGCGGTGGCGGTGGCATCAATGGCTCTGACCGCCACGACGATGACGCCGCCGCCGTGATCTTGCGTTTGGTTTCATTCCCGATTTAGCGATGGTCGCCTTTTGGCGTCCGGAGGCGCTTGCGTCAACGGGCGCGTTGCCGGCGCGCGGGCCGCCTCCTCGCACGCGTTGCCCTGCCGCGTGTGGCGCGCTGAGCGCGGCACGGGGGGCCGTGGGTCGCCGCCCTAGAGCCGCGGCTAATTTGCTCCTCTGGCATGGAACACAATGGCACCCTGCCCCAAGGCGAGCAGATGGCGCGGTTTTCTGATTGCGTTAAACTATTAAACTTGTTTTTCTTGGGTCTTTCGGTAAAGTCACGTACATAGGTTCAAAGAAAAAAAATAGTTTTTGTTTTCTCCTGATGACGACTGCTTGCGTTGCGGTCGAAACGTCGTAGGTTTTTGTTATTTTTTGGGTTATTTTCTTTGAACCTATCTACGTGACTTTACCGAAAGACCCAAGAATATGAATTCCCACAGTCACGAAAGCTTTTAAGTCAATATGAAACTTGTTTTTATTTTACTAGCCAAGGCCCACTGAGGCTATACAAAAGAAATTCAAAAGCGACCTGGCCACAAAAGAAAGAGCAACAAAGTTGGCTTATCACGTGGACATTTATAGCAGCCACATACTCCAAACACGTGATTTTGTTTCTGAATGTGGAGGGAAACCCCAGAGGACCAATATAAAAATCCACGCGAGCACGGGGAGAACGTGCAAACTTAAAATATAGAACAGGCGTCAGTGTCGGGATCGATCCCACGACCGTCCTGCATACAAGGCGAGGTAGTCAACATCTCGCCACGGTTATACTTCATGACGCCGTCCCCGCACCGCCGCTGAGAACGCAACGCGATCAGCTCTGACGCAGCCTTCGCGTCGTTTCCTCTTCTATGGTCAGGATTCCTACATCCTCTACGTAGACTGGGAATGTGGACTTTCCAAGTTCCCATGACGGGGTTATCCCGAGGTTCTGGGAATCCTACTCCATCGGTATGTGTAAGGTTTTCACGACCAATATTATGATTCATAAGCTAGACTGGGAATGTGAACATTCCAAGTTCCCATGAGGGGACTATCCAGAGGATGTGGGAATCCTACTCCATCTGTATGTATAAGGCTTTCACGACCAATATTATGATTTACAATTTAGAGTTAGATCGTGTGGGTGTAATGTCAGTCTTTAACTATAAACTTTCACCATCCGACAATGGGTCTTAGCCGGTAAGATAAAAACAATAGTTTATATGTATGATGTATATATATTTGTTTACCTTTCCTATACTGTGAACTCCTATCGTGTTTTTGTATTGTTTGTTGTAACGTTCTTACCCCGTACCCCTACTGGACATCTGTGAAAAAGAGCTTTATAGCTCATCGGATTCCTCCAGTATCAATAATCATTCTGATTCTGAAATTGTCACGTCGTGGGCATAATATAATAATAATAATTTACATTTGTAAGGCGCATTTCATCTGAGGATCTCAATGCACCGTGTAGGAAACAAGACAGAGCCAGTGGTAATCGACCACAACTATGGGTAAGAGGCCTTTTTCTAGAGGGGAGTTTTCAGGCCAAGATTTAATAGCTCTAAAGATTCTCATCGTCTTATTGTCAGAGGCCAACTCGTTACATAAGTCTTGGAGCTGCACTGGTCAAAAATCCCCGATCACCGCCAGAAACGGAGGCCTTGACCTTGGGGCGCTAAGGGGAAGAAGAAGATCTGAGTGTATTTGATTTCTCAGCAAAAAGTAGAAATCAAGTTTAGAAAAAAGTGACAATGTTTCGTGTCGTTATAAATGACGTTTCGCTGGCGATTACAGCCAGCGCCATCAGCTCTCCTCGCGCGAAGGCGCTTTCTTGATCCGGGTCCTTGAGTAAGTGCCTGTGACGTCACCAGGGCAGCCGTGGCCAGGTGACCGCTTTAATAATCCGTTGCTAGGTGACGGCTTTAATAATCCGTGGCAAGGTGACCGCTTTAATAATCCATGGCCAGGTGACGGCTTTAATAATCCATGGCAAGGTGACCGCTTTAATAATCCGTGGCCAGGTGACCGCTTTAATAATCCGTGACCAGGTGACCGCTTTAATAATCCGTGGCCAGGTGACGGCTTTAATAATCCGTGGCCAGGTGACCGCTTTAATAATCCATGGCCAGGTGACCGATTTAATAATCCGTGGCCAGGTGACCGCTTTATAATCCGTGGCCAGGTGACCGCTTTAATAATCCGTGGCCAGGTGGCCGCATTAATAATCCGTGACCAGGTGACCGCTTTAATAATCCGTGGCCAGGTGACCGCTTTAATAATCCGTGGCAAGGTGACCGATTTAATAATCCGTGGCAAGGTCACCGATTTAATAATCCGTGGCCAGGTGACGGCTTTAATAATCCGTGGCCAGGTGACCGCTTTAATAATCCGTGGCCAGGTGACCACTTTAATAATCCGTGGCAAGGTGACCGCTTTAATAATCCGTGGCCAGGTGACGGCTTTAATAATCCGTGGCAAGGTGACCGCTTTAATAATCCGTGGCCAGGTGACTGCATTCATAATCCGTGGCCAGGTGACGGCTTTAATAATCCGTGGCCAGGTGACCGCTTTAATAATCCGTGGCCAGGTGACCACTTTAATAATCCGTGGCCAGGTGACCCCTTTAATAATCCGTGGCCAGGTGACGGCTTTAATAATCCGTGGTCAGGTGACCACTTTAATAATCCGTGGCCAGGTGACTGCATTCATAATCCGTGGCCAGGTGACGGCTTTAATAATCCGTGGCCAGGTGACCGCTTTAATAATCCGTGGCCAGGTGACCGCTTTAATAATCCGTGGCAAGGTGACCGATTTATTAATCCGTAGCAAGGTACCGCTTTAATAATCCGTGGCCAGGTGACGGCTTTAATAATCCGTGGCCAGGTGACCGCTTTAATAATCCGTGGCCAGGTGACCGATTTAATAATCCGTGGCCAGGTGACCGCTTTAATAATCCGTGGCAAGGTGGCCGATTTAATAATCCGTGGCCAGGTGACCACTTTAATAATCCGTGGCCAGGTGACCGATTTAATAATCCGTGGCCAAGTGACGGCTTTAATAATCCGTGGCAAGGTGACCGATTTAATAATCCGTGGCCAGGTGACCGCTTTAATAATCCGTGGCCAGGTGACCGCTTTAATAATCTGTGGCAAGGTGACCGCTTTAATAATCCGTGGCCAGGTGACCGCTTTAATAATCCATGGCCAGGTGACGGCTTTAATAATCCGTGGCCAGGTGACCGCTTTATAATCCGTGGCCAGGTAACCGCATTAATAATCCGTGGCCAGGTGACCGCATTCATAATCCGTGACCAGGTGACCGCTTTAATAATCCGTGGCCAGGTGACCGCTTTAATAATCCGTGGCAAGGTGACCGATTTAATAATCCGTGGCAAGGTCACCGATTTAATAATCCGTGGCCAGGTGACGGCTTTAATAATCCGTGGCCAGGTGACCGCTTTAATAATCCGTGGCCAGGTGATGGCTTTAATAATCCGTGGCAAGGTGACCGCTTTAATAATCCGTGGCCAGGTGATGGCTTTCATAATCCGTGGCCAGGTGACCGCTTTAATAATCCGTGGCCAGGTGACGGCTTTAATAATCCGTGGTCAGGTAACCACTTTAATAATCCGTGGCCAGGTGACCGCATTCATAATCCGTGGCCAGGTGACGGCTTTAATAATCCGTGGCCAGGTGACCGCTTTAATAATCTGAGTGCATTGCTCGCTGACGATTGCTTGTGATTTGGCAGGGGGTACGTTCGCGTAATAAACGTGAATCTATTTCGCGGTTAGTGACAATCGGCTTTTCTTTTTAATATATTAAGGTGCGTTATCGTGTTGGTAATGAAGTTGGGGTTTCAATGCTTTTGTGATTCTAGTTAAGCGTTGATTGATTAATAGGGCTCGTTGATATTATGCGGATTAGCACTTTGAGGAATTGGGCGATACGGGTTGATTGGAGAGATCGTTGGCGTTGCATTGTTCTTCGTCTCGCGTTTGTTATTAGAGGTCGATATCCCAGTCACTCATCCACTTGATGGCCACTCCGTCCGAATCAATCGTCCTTAAATCCCATTTGGGCGCCCTGGTGCCGAGATGTTAACTACTTCGCCTGATCTACAGGATGTCGTGGTATATTTGGAGTGTGCATGTCTCTCTCTCCCTCCCTGTGGTCGTGTGGATTTTTCTCCGGGTCCTCTGCTTTTTTCCCTCCACATTTAAAAACATGCGTTTAGAGTATTTGGCTGCTATACATTTCCACATGATAAGCCACTTCGTTGATTTACCATTTGGAGCCAGGTCGTTTCGGAAAAAAGAGCGACATAGCTCAGTGGACCTTACCTGGTAATTTTAGTTTTTATGTTTTAGTTTATCCATCGCAAGGCACAGCCCTCACTCAACTCCATGGCACGGCCGTCATGCAGGGCAACTCTGCACTCCGAAGTTGTCGGAGAGCTGTGCACGCGATGAGCCACTTAAAACTATTTAAGCTATTTTATTTTATTTTAGAAGTTAAGGTGACCTGGCCACGAATGATAGCTCAACGAAGTGGCGTATCAACATGTGGAAATGTAGAGCAGCCAAATACTTTAAACGCGTGATGTTGATGCCAAATGTGGAGGGAAACCCCGGAGGACCCGGAGAAAAATCCACACGACCACGGGGAGAACATACAAACTCCACATCATGGGACCTCCCTTGCCAGTATCATGCATGTTCGCCACAAGTATGTGTGGCTAATGCAGACACGATTCCTTTTTAAAGCTTTTAATTTGGTGTTTTAACATCTTAACACAACTGTTTTTTTGCCAGAAAGGGTAAAACCAATTCTCATAGAAACTCCAAATATACAGCAGGCATCACGGTCGGGATCGATCCCACGACCTCCTTGCATACCAGACGAGGTAGTTATCTCACAACCTCTCATCTCGTTGAATTTGAGAGGGCACCCCCAGTGATAACCGTGCCTGTACGGCACAAGGTGGCTCGGCACCGGCATGCAACTGGGCGTTCGTTTGCCGGCACGGGGCGACGATGACTGACCTGTAACCCCAATTGAGTCGTTTTTTGGGTCTTTTTTCGAATTTATCAAGTGTGGACCGTGACGCCGGCACACAATGCCCTCCTCCTGGGAGTTACATCAGGGAGAGGGGGTGGTCTGTATTATTATTATTATAATAACCAGGTCGTCTGCTGGGATTGGAACCGTGACAAGCGGCGAACGCGCTACCCCGCTGGGGCCCGTCACCGCGTTCTAGCGTGGCACACTGCCACACATGAGGGTCCCCAACATTCCCGCGGCCACACGCCCCGCCCGTCGAGCCCCGGTCCCCAGGACTAAGTGGACATCGCTGGTGTGCCGATAGCCGGTTGCCCGCGTCAATATTCCGTCTGCGGATCTGCAGCCCTCTTGCTCGGCGGGCCGAGGGCACTGGGCGGAGCCTTGCCTCGCTGCGTTTCTGGCTCAAATCCCCGGTTCCCTCCCGAGATTAACATCGCGGTCTGGAGGTTAACGGACGAAAAAAAAAATGCACTCGTGGTGCAGTGATTGGTTTTCCACTTACAGTGTTTCGAGCGAAGCCCAACTCTTATCGGATTATTTAGCAGACACGTGGGGGACCTCTCATCTCGACAGCTGCAGACAGCGCGGGCCCGTGGGAGTGTCCGATAGGCCAGCAAAGGATACACCAGGACCGCATGTCCGATGTCACTTGTTACGTATTGTATGTTTGTATGTAGAGCTTATTTCGCAACGTACGTAACTCACCGTGCGGGTTTGTCTACACACACTGCATCTGGATGCGAGGAGCCCCCGGATTGTGTGCCGTGCCGGCCTTCATAAGTCCTCGCTAACAGCACTTGCCCAAACAGTCTGTTAAGACTATACGGGGAATCTTTTCCCCTATTGTCTTTGTGTATGTTCGTGTGTGTTTGTGTGTTCACGTGTGTTTACGTGTGTTCGTGTGTTCACGTTTGTTCGTTTAGACGTTAGCGCACCGCGCTACGAACCAGTCCACCCGATGCAATTCCCGCTCACGACCAAAATCAGTGGCGAATATCCCGAACCGGTTCTAATCCTCTCCTAGGTCGACTCAACCTCAAATGTCTAAACATCGCCTCTCGGGAGACAAAGGCGGCCGGGCATGTGGTGCTGGCCATCCACCGATTCACGTGGCTTTACCGCCTTTATCGGTGCTACTCGCTAAAAGCACTTGCCCCGGCAGTGTGTTCAGCCTATACGGGGCATCTTTGTCTTCATGCCACGCAGCTGCTGCTGCTGCTGCCGCCGTAGCCCACGCTCGCGTGACGCAAGCAGCGGTGGAGGACAAACGAACGAAACGGAGCCCGAATGTTGTGATCAGGGGGCCACTGTTGTGATCAGGGGGCCACTGTTGTGATCAGGGGGCCACTGTTGTGATCAGGGGGCCACTGTTGTGATCAGGGGGCCGTGCCTGGCCAGCCCACCCGGCCCAGAGACGGCGGGGCATGGGGGCCACGTCGTTCGGTGATAGAAGCCGTCGGGGCACGCGCCACAAGGGCGGGGAAGGGGACTTGCTCACCGCGGATACAATCGCTCGCCCCACAAACAACAACAACAACACACTCGAGCCCCGATTCAAACGCACAAAGGCCGAGAGCGGCACAGCGCTCCGCGGAGTCGCCTCCGTCTCGTCCTGCCACAAGCTGCTCGGGTTGCGTCATCGAAGTTGGGATTCTGTGCCCGGGAGCTGCGATCTTCTTTGTCGGTGGCTGGGTGATGGCCGCGCATTGCTCGGTCCTGGCCTGTGGGTGGTTCCAGTCGGAAAAGAAGCTCTCGGGGGTTGTTGACTCCATTCTATTCTGCGGATTCTTGTCGTGCGGGTGGCGGTGGGGTGGAGGAGGAGGAGGTGCGGGGTGGGTATGGGGGATGATGAGATTGGGTGGGGGGCACGGGGTGTGTGTGTGTGTGGGGGGGGGGGGGTCAGCAGGCGGGCCAGCACTTGCCCACCCACGGGGCGCGCAGTCTAATCCCAGAGACAATGCCCCTCCTAATTACGGACGGACGGAGTCTTTTTTTTTTTTAGGGAATTTTTGTTTTTTTGTGAGACAGATTTCACGGGAAGCGAAAAAAAATAAAAAAGGAATCCCGTTAAACACGACCTGGCCTGTTGGTGGAGGCTGCTGCTGCTGCTGTGCCTGGAATGTTAGTGGAGCTTTATTGGCCCTGCCCGCGGTGCTGTGACTTATTTAAATATTAATTTATTGCCCCCTTAAAGAGAAGAATGGAAATGAGTGCAGAAAAGATGTTGCTTTTGAACAGGGGGAAACAAGACCGAGATCTCCTCGACTTGCGCCTTTCATTTAAACTTTGTCACTTAACTGCCAAGCAAGTTGGAGGTCAAACGCCGTGGTAGACTTGGAGCACGTGGCGACGTTGGATGATGGAGCAGCAGCGGCGCTGTGGCATTGTGGGTGGCAGGGATGAGGGGCATTGCTTGCTCGCGGGCAGCAGTGATGGGAGAGCGATGGGCCCAGGATGTGGCTTGAAGGGTCGGCCGATCCAACTCGGACCCCTCTGTGGATATCGCGGCAATTACAGCGAGGGCCTGGCGCACGCTGGAGTTTGCCTGATTTCTTTTTTAAAGAAACACCCCCCCCCCCCCCCAAAAAAAAAGTTAACGACTGTGGGGAGGAAGGAGACCCGGGGGTTGTTGTTGGGCTCTGGTGCTGGGGGCGCTGGGAAGCCCCCAGCAAGTGGACTCAGGAATGGCCTTTGTTGCTTCTCCATTCCCCCACAGTTTGTCACTAAACTCGTAAAAAGAAGATCCGAGGGG